TGGGAAGTTGGTTCGGAAAGTGCTCACTTGGCAGCACTTACAAGGTAAGGAGAGACACTTTACCTCAACCAAATGCTCTCCCAACATTTGCATTCACTGCATTACACAACATCACTGACACAGCAAATTGATTGACCCATCTTTTTTTTTTTTGGTTGGTGATTAACATCATCTAACGAGAGACGGAAATATATTGTCTTTGCTGTTCAAAAATATATATATATTATCTTTATAAAATTAAGAAAACTTGAATCTGATACAGAATTCATTTGTCAAGTTATAATTATAAAGAAATGTAAACATGGTGTAATAGTCTTCACCTGTTCATGATTGATAAGTGACCGCGATGAAGGAGGACAAGAAAATCCACTCAAGTGCGCTAGTGCTGCAGCAAGAGCAGATGTCCCTTGTTCTTCAATTAGCCTTTGGGCAGTTGGGGTGAAAAACTCTACAGATTCAGGATGAACTCCTCTAAGAGTAGCTGCAACTTGTTCAGCTGATGACTCCAAAACCTCTTCAATAGCTGGAGGACTGATGAACTCAAACTTGCAACCCACATCACGTTCAAGGGATCGAACGGTTCTCCTCTGGCTGTTGGTAAACATCAGAATGGCAGAACCTTCCTTTCCTGCACGTCCAGTGCGACCAGAGCGATGCACAAAAGTCTCTGCATCATTTGGAAGCTCATAGTGGATCACCTGGAAGAAGTAATGGTAAGGACCAAATGGACTTATCAACAATTGGATCTAGGGATAAACTCAAAATTGAAGGGAAAATATATTCTTCATGCACTTATCCAATGGACTGTGGTAGCATCAAATTTGCTCACTCCTCCAAAAATTACAATTGTACAGATAACTACCAGCTTGTTTCATTCATTTAAATAGTCCAATGAGAAATAAAAGTCATGCAGTGCTTGGGTTATCATGTTACTCATGCACTGGAAATCACGTGATTATAGACAAATAAAAAATGTTTTTAAAAAATAGTGCAACAGCTATTTTAGTAACTTACTAGATCAACATTAGGGATATCAAGCCCACGAGATGCCACATCAGTGGCAACAAGAACGGTAAATTTTCCTTGGCGAAAACCATTCAATGTTCGCTCCCTCTGATGTTGAGATATATCTCCATGTAATGCCTCAGAAGCTATGCTATTTGTTAAAGCCAATGATACCTCATCAGCATCTCGTTTTGTCTGTGTAAATACAATAGTCTTCCCACCCTTTGCATAAACCTGGAGATTGGAAAAAGATACAATGCTTTTTTATTATGGTGGCAGCTCTCCACCTTTAGTTTTAGATCTATCTGACCAATAAGCCAAACAATAAAATATGATAGCATGAGAATACAGCATTCAGCTGGTAATAGAAGATTGGGCCGTTCATAAATACAAAAGGAATTCTTAAATAAAACTTTGAGGGATGGGTTTAATTTTGGAATTTAAAACTTCAAAAGAAGCTTGGAGTTGGACACAAAAAAAAAAAGAAGAAGGAGCAGCTTGAAGAAAATGGACAAAAGGTACACAGAATTTCCCTTCATACCAACTTTTCCTGGTGGAAAAAGTGGTTCTATAAATTTTATGAATTTTTACTTAACTCTTGGATTAGATTATGTCTAGTCTTCAAAGAAGAACCATACATATAGAATAAGGACAATATATTTGAATATTCTACATGCCACACATAATATTAGCAAGATATTGTTATAGACGTAACATGTTTGAACTACATGACTTTATAAACAGCCATAAAGAGAGCCATAAAGAGAGGAAAAAAATATTTTCATGTGGTTTAAATTTGAATATGCATAAAATTGACTAGCATATAACACTAAGTACTGAATGATGAGTACTCTCAAGCAGCTGTAGACTCTATCATTTTTGCTTATGTACTCTTTCTAAACTTTTTTTGTTTTTTTTTTGGGGTTTAGCAGTCAGCATGTTCTCAGGTTAGCTTGTGCGCACCTTAAGACTAATCCCTCCTCAATCCCATCAAAGGTAGGCCATCAACATTGAGACTAGGGAATTCATGAAGAATTACCTCCTCATTGGCCTCCTGAAGGAATCAAGCCTTGATACAAAAGGTGGCCAGCAAACTCCCTTACCAACTAAACTAATATTTTGATCCTCTCTCATAAAATGGCAAATGATTGACAAGGCTCATTCTATGCGTGCAGCATAAAATATAAAACTTCAGTTATGTTTTTGGATATCAACTAAAGAACTACCATCAACTAATTAGTTATGGCAATGAGGATGATAACAGCAAATCACCACCACCACCAACAACAACTATAATCACAACTATGGTAACAACACCAATAACAATAGTAAGGAATTTCACACTCATACCATTACAAGATCGCTAAGAATGGTTCGCTTTGAAGTTGAAGTGGTTGATATTGCATAAAGTTTGATCCCTTCAGCAAGCTTTTCATCTTGATCACCAACCTACAAAAAGGAGCAAGCAAGGTCACTATGTCAGCACCAAAGATGTGTTTTTTATATCTAACAATCCCTACAGCTTGAAAGTGCATTAGATTTCTTTGCAATTGTACCAAGCACAGGCCACAAGGGCATCAAACTGCCATTCATAGGCCAACACATAACTTCCACATGGTCTTCCCACGGAAATTACAATCATAAAAAAATTGTCAAAAAACCACCTTTAAATCTTGTCTAGATGATACTTTGAGATAACTCCTCAGCCTAATGAAGTTGTAAGAAGTTACAAGACAATATTATATTGGATTCACATACAAAGGAGATTCCATGAAAGCATTATCAAGGAAACCAAAAGCGTTTTCTTTTTTGGATGAGGAGGGTGAAAGAACAAATTTATACTAGAGGAAGCACCATTCCTGACTACAAGGGCAACACTATATTCTCTCACCATTCAACATCAAGAAATGTGAATTTCAGGGTGTTGGTACTTTTCTTCAAAACAATTAACCAGTACTTGTTCATAAGACAAATAGAAAAGAGCAAATGAAAGAAAAGCATATATGATACGTAACAGGATAAATAAAAGCTAGCAGAAGGAGAAGAAATTACCAAATCAATGTTTAGAGGATTATCCAGGTATTTCCTTGCCAACTTTTTAACCCAAGCGGGCATGGTTGCAGAGAAAAGCATGCTCTGCCTCTTTGGAGGAAGATTTTCTAAAATTTCTTCCACGTCCTCCTCAAATCCAACTGCAAGCATCTGATCAGCTTCATCCAGTACCAAATATTCAACTTCCCCCAATTTAAGGTCTTTACTTTCTATCAGGTCAATGATACGACCGGGAGTCCCAACTACCACATCAACCCCACGAGAAAGAGCATTTCGCTGTGTATTGTAAGAAACCCCTCCATAAACACAAACAGTATTTAAATAGGGTGCAGACTCTTTAATTTCTTTCTCTACTTGCTTTGCTAACTCCCTAGTAGGTGCAAGGATTAAAACTCTAGCAAGCCGACCAGACCTATAAAAGAATATCAAGAGGTTACATTCATAAAACAAAATTTCAAACAACAGTTAAGTAAAGCAGGAAAGCGTAATGCATCAAATACCTAAGAGAATTTCTCCTATCAGTAGGTTCAGTAAGGCGTTTAATTATTGGGATCCCAAATGCTAAAGTCTTCCCAGTTCCTGTTTTTGCACGAGCAATAAGATCTCTACCTTCTAGTGCTGGTATCAATACAGCTCTCTGAAAGAATAAAATGTTAATCTTTCCATGGAGAGAACATTAACACAAATTAGGTGTAAAGAAATGCAGCGTCAAAAGTGAACTGACTATCTCACATCAAACACATTTATCTTCAAAATAATAATATGTTAACAGATAGACAGAATTAAGCGTCCGTTTGGTCTGGCTTTTAAAACCGCTTCTCTTCTCTGAACTCTGAAGCCTAGCCTAACAGAGTTTTCTTAGAAGCATTAAACTGCAAATCTGTAACTTCTGGTTTAGTGATTTCAAGCTCTAATTTACAGAAAGCAACGACTTTTGAAAGAAAGAAAAGAAAAGAAAGGTGCCTGAATGGGGAAGAGATGGCTGATGCCGCGTTTCTGAAGGATATCTACGAGGCGCTGTGGCAAATCTAACTTGGAAATGTCGAGTTCGTCTTGCTCCGACGACATCTCTTCCTCCTCTTCATCCTGGCTTAGAGAGAGGCTGCCGAGCCCCTTGAAGGCCTCTTCACTGAGCACGGAATTGGAAGTGGCTACAGCTGAAACGGAAACGAAGTGCTTAAGGGGAAGCAAGGGCCTCCCTGATGCTACAAGTGCATTGAAATGAGTTCTATCCGTCAAGGGTAAGGCTGTCCTCCTAGTGGAAAGATCGAGGGCTGGAGTATAACAGACAGAGGATACAGACATCATCATTTTACTTGCTCTGAAACTGATACCAAAAGGGTTTCAGAAGCTCTAGTTTTTCCTCCTTTTTTTCCTGTTTTTTTGCCAATTTAAAAGCTCTAGTTGAGGAGAGGAAGTGGAGAGCAGAGTTCAGATATTTGCGCAGCGAGGGAGATAAGGCTGCTCCCCGTAAGGAAATGAATGGATACGTAGCCCTCCACATCGTGAAGTTTCTCCTTTCGATCCTTTAAAGCCTTTAAATTTATCAATGTTCGTCTCCTAACTCTTATTTTATTCAAATCAGTCCCCTAAATTCCAATATCATATGTTTTTTTCATTTCATTTTATTTTGAGTTGAATAGAAAGTGATATTCTCCTCTATGTACTCAAACTTGTTTCTCTTAATTTTCCTCTCACATCACACGCAACTAACCCACACTCATACTTTTATTTTTATCATTTGAAAATTATTGCTTAACCACTCCTAATTTCAACATTATATTTTCAAAAATTTTGAGAATGTATTTGTTATAATGATTTGAAATTTGAAGTTAATAGTTTTATTTAAATTATTGTAAATAGATGCTTGATAAGTTTATTTATATTTAAATTGTTATAAATTAAGGTCTTATTTCGTTTAATATAATTGTAATTTTTAATTTTTATAAATTTTATAATTATTATAAATTAAAACTAAAAAAAAATAAAAACTAAGGTTTAGTTTAGTATACTTGTGGTTTTAAGTTTTTTACTTTGCTTTTTATAAATTTTACAACTTTAAACAAAAAAATTCATTTACTTTTAAATATTCATACAATATATTATTATAATTATTAAAAAAATTAATAATATTAAAAAAGTAAATATTTTTAATTCTTAGATATTAAAATTTTTTTAAACAAATTTTTAATTTTATAGTATTTTAAATTTAAGAGAGTGGATAGAAAGAGTAGGGAGGAAAAGTTATTTAATCAATTAAATTATAATATTTGAAACATTTTATAATTTGATTAATTAAAAAAATTTTCAAGATTAATTTTTTATATCTACACAATTAATAAAAGTTTAAAATTTAAACTTCAAAGCCATAATCATGTTTTGGTTTTGAATTTTTATTTTCATAAATTTTAAAATCCTAAATAAAGAAATTATTTATTTTCATGTACTTTTATAATATATTATTACAATTATTAAAGAAATAAAAAATTAATTTTAATTATCAACAAATTTATATATATATATATATACATATATTTCTCAATATTAAAACTCTGACTTGAATAAATTGTGATTGTTATTAATCTTCATTTTGCAAGCTTTGCCGCAATGGAAGTGTGAAACAGCCGCCATTATTGGGTGACAGTAGAGCAATTCTTCTCGTTGGTTTTTAAATTTTGTTATTCGACTTTTCCACCCTCACCCAGATCTGCCCTCGCAATTGAGCGAATCCGTTTCCTTTTCAAAAACCATTCCTCTTCTCCACCGCCCTCTCTTAACCTTCTCCATACCTTCCGCTCTCCGATTCTTCAATTATCGTCTTTGATTCCTTTCCTCCGTTGTTGGACAACCTCACCGATTCATTTCTTTTATTCCCGTCGCAGCGGCGGCGGCGGAGGAGGCGGCGGGGCGGCAAGGTGTGGTTAGGGTTTCTAATTTCGCCACACCTCCCATCTGTGTCGGTTTCTTCAATCTCGATACACAGGCGGCACAGTCGTTTCTGAGAAGCTCGGTGAAACTACAGCTCTACCCTCAATGACGGATTTGGGCCCAATTTACTACACGGTCATCGCGTTCCTATGTACTGCCGGAGCAATTGCTTTGGCGATGCTCCACATCTACAGGCATCTTCTCAATTACACGGAGCCTATTTTTCAGAGATATATTGTTCGCATCATCTTTATGGTTCCGGTCAGTGCTTTTTATCTCTATTACCTTACTTTGTGCTTACTGTTGCATAGATATAATAATAA